TTTTAAATAAAAAATAAATATAGAAATTTCTTTATGTATTCGACTAATAAAAATTAAAATACTCTAAATAAAAAAAATGTTCTTTGAACATTATCGTACATATATCTGTAACTAATAAAAATTATATGAAAATAATTACTATTTATATTCTTATTTAAGACGATGTATTTACCCCAAATCTCCATAAAAATTTTTAATAATGTAAACATATTAAATCATTACTAAATTAATCATAATTGTAAATCTTTACATATACAATACATATTTTCTTTGTATTCTTGTTTTATAATGTAACATATACATATCGATAAATAAATTCCAAATAAATCAAAATGATACAAACATTCGCTTATAAACTCCGAAAAAAATTTATCTTACACAATCGAAAAATTTATATTCTTTCTTCATGTTTGCACAAATTATTTACATTTTGATTCTCATCGATACAATTATGTCAAATTTTATCAATACAATTTTTAGAACTAATTCTGGTAGAATTCCACCAAATCAACAAGAGATTTATGATAATCTTTCTTTTACAAATGGAGAAAATTATTTTCAAAGTACAAATTCATTTGTAACGACTAATTCCGAACCAATAAATGATCTTCCTTCATCATATGATGAAATAGAACAAGATGGTATTTAATCTTTAATTTTTTTTGTTTTTTTATTACTACGTTATTAAAAAAAAATAACAAAATGTCCAATATTATAGAACGTATACAAGTTCAAGAAAATACAAATATTGATGCAAATTATTTGAGTGATCGTATTGCAGATGAATATTAGCCTTTTATAAGAAGAATAAAACTATTAGAAGAAACTATCGGTAAATATATATTAAAAAATAACTAAGTAATAAACATTTTACTAATTTTCTTTAAATTTAGTTTCTTTAAAAAATGATACTAAATTCTACAAGAAATTCTTAATTTTTTTTTCATTGATGATTTCTATTATTATAATATTATTTGGTCTTTATATTTGGTAGACAACAAATATTCATAAAATAAATACTCAACTTTTATATGAACAAGTTGAAGTTGAAGTTAAAAAAAAACTTTTTAACGAAAATATAGATATAATTATTAATTTTTTAAATTCGCAGAAATTGTGAAATGTTTAATGTTTTTTCTTCTTCTTTGTTGTTATTCAAATATTGTAGATTTCTTTAAAATTTTTCTTTGATTTTGTCATTTGGATTTTTTTTTGTTTTTGATTTATAAATTTGGTTTAAAAAAAATTCTGTCATGTAATTTTAAAACTTTGTTCTTCTTCCAACAAATAAATAAAAATTTCAAAATACGAAAATAATAAAAAAAATAAAATAAATTTAAAAGTAAATGAAAATGAAATAAAAAAAGACAATAAAAAAATAAAAAAATATAAAATAATAAATAATATCAATATAATATAAAAAATATCATATGAAGAATCAAACGTTTCAATATAATAAGGATCAAAATCCATTGTTTTTTTTTCTCTAATATTATTTGTTAATGATTCTGATAATATAAAATCAAACTTAAAATGAATAACAAATCAAATAAATTAACAATAAAAGAAATATAAGAAAAATTAATATTTTCTAGAAAATTTACTAACAATGAAATACTAAAATAATAAATTATAGAAATAAAAATAAA